GGCTCTAGGGCCCACCCAGGAACCTATTAATGGGTACCGGGATATTTTCTGTGGTAAAGTGCAGCCGGGGCATAATGCTGACAAAGGACATTTGCTGCGTGTTCCAAGACACAAGGGGATCAAGGGCAATGAAAATGCAGACCAGCTAGCCAGAAAAGGACACCTGTACCCATTCACAGGACTTCAGACTGCTGTAGCATCTCCAGAAGAGTTTCAGGGCATGCTATTAGGGACTGGGAGTACAGGGAACACCAAAAATATTTATTGGCAGTCCATTTCAGGACAAAAACATGCTAAATGGACCACAGAGTTCCTGAAGCTCAGTAGGCACCAAAGAAGACATAAGACAAGAATATTAAAAAGACACTGCCACTTAAGCAGACACCTCTTCAAATCTGGGGAAGTTAACAGCCCCACTTGCAAGAGGTGCCACCATGAAACAGAAACAGCCTTGCAAATCCTTTATGATTCTGAGGCCTTGGCTGAATTGAAATATTGTCACCTGTTCAGGTATTTCATAAGAACAAGCGACTATCATGAGAACCTGCTGGGTAGGATACTGAACTTTACAGCAAGTACAGTACTACTACTAAATTAAAAGAACTGGGATGCACATACATAAACCAGACTGACTTTGAAACCTTACAAATCTCAATCAGTTCTGAAATCACATGCTGTTTCAGTTCCAAGCACTCTGTAGGCTGTAATTTCTGTGGTTTGGGGGGAAAGGGGTTCCCATACACACAATTTTTAGTGACCAATCAAAGCTCACGAAAGTAAAATTAGTTCTTTCCTCTCTGAAAACAGAGAGAGGAAACACAAAGTACCATTTCCATTCACAAAAAAGATGAATGACTCAAAAAGAATTCAAATTTACTTTCCTAATAAAATAAAGTAGGCTTATGAGTAACCATGCTGTGTCCCCCTTTCCAACTTCTGATCCATCCAAGTAATTTTCAAAAAAATTTAGTACATACATTCCACGCCAACCTTCAACACAATGGCCTTACAAGAAATGTCTTTACCTTACAGATTGACAGCAATAACTAATGCACCAGTAGAAACTTGGTACATGAAATGTGGTGCACAGATCATAAAATACTTAAAAATTACATATAAAATATTATTTGTAAGTCAAAAACTACAGTAATGGTAAATGTGATGTACAAAGAGTATGTAATAAAGAAATGGTGTTTCTGAAATAGAAATACTAAAAACAATTATTTCTGTAACATATTTACAACTGCAAGTAATAATAAAACAATGTGACCAAAGTGGGACTTGATAGCATGACCATCCACGTACAAGCTGAGCACGTTAACCCACAAGTTAAATCACATTTTGACGGATTATGAACTTAAAACACCCAAATATACCATTAACAACACAAAATTTGTAAGCCTTAAAAATTCTGCCTGTGAGTCCTTGTGCACTGTGCAATGACTAACACAAGGCTTTTTCGGCTCTATTTATAAATGGAGCTAAGGAGCCATTGAATGTAAAAAAGTCACATTGCTTGTTCCAAAGATACATGAGGAATAAGTCACCTGAAGCAGACATTCTGCAGCTGCTGCTTGGAAGTTCTCATCACCCAGAAGAAGGCAGAGCATTTGTAATAGCTGTCCATCACTGGCCATGATGTGATTGATGGAAACCCATTCAATAAAGCCAGTGAGGGTCAGAAGTACAACTTGTACTACGCGCACATGCACATTCAACTCTGCTTCCTGACCCTGTTCACGCAACTTCTTAACAGCATGAAAGTGTTCACTAACAAGGCGCAGGAAAAATGCAAATATTTCTCCCATGTTGGTTGTGAGTGCTTGGTAGATATCTCGACGACGCTGGTTTGATTCCACTGTCTGAAACAATAGCCCTTTAAGAACAACTAGTGTGATCATTAGTCCAATACCACAAATTAAAATTCCACTAGACCATATGCCTCAATACTGTGCTACAATTTCTGTATATGTGCATATCTGATGGCTGGTTACATTTGAAATTAATGTAAGAAGAACAGATGTTGCCAAGACTGAAGTAGCTGGTGTACAGTTACCAGGTGAACATAAAATATTTAAGAATATAACACGTTCCATTTCCTTTATATGTAGGAAAATCAAATCAAGGTTATGAAGGACAGAAAGTGGGTATGACAAGGTTATATTAATAAGATGGGGTTTTGTACTAGCCATCAAGCTGTAAAACCACAATAATTAGTATACTGTAACTGACTTATTCCTGTGAGCTCTAAAGTATCTGAGACCAAGAGTGAAGCGTAATGCATCCATTCTCTTTAATGACATCAATGATTTCAGCAATGATAGAGATTCACGGATATCTGGTTGAGAAGCAGGTGATGATGATGCGGATGTTGGTGTTCCAGGGAAAAAACAAATGCATTGCTTTTGTTACAGGAGAGTGAACATTTCTAGTTTAGGAATTTCTGTCACTGAAACACAATCACATTTTATCAGTGAGTGTACTTGCCACTTATTCATAGCCGAGCCGAGACATAAGCAGCTCTTGAAACTTCCCTATACCAGCTAAAAGTTAATGCAGCCAAGTAGCATCAAGAGAACTGTGTTACATCCTTGTGCACAAGCACAGACCAGCATTGACTTGCATCCTGATGCAGAGGAAAGAGGAACAACGGGCACCCTCAGTAAGTTGCCATGCTATACTCTACAAATTTATGCGGATGTTGGCATCATGGGCTGAAGATGGAAACAGTGTTTTTCTATGAAATATTGGTATCTAACTAAAAGTCCACATAGCATTACTACTCAGAAGACCAACATCGACATCTTCATTTCTGTCAGAAGCTCAACCCCCTCATAATAATTGTGATGCCTGAACCATCAGTAATATTACTGTAGAAAATGTGGTATATGGCAACAGTTATGTGCATCTGAGACACTGCAGCAGACTCTACCAACACCAAAGTGGAAACTGTGCATGTAGTCAGTTCAACTCTGGTTATGACAAGGTGTATGCTGAGTGAGCAGAAATATCTGCATACGGGATTACATCTTCAGCAAGGGCTCATCTCATGGTGGCATCTTCTGGGATATTGCAATGTGTGGACTGGTAGAAGTGTACATCAAGTTTCTACCAGACATCACAGAGCGACATACCAGAAGATGGGAATCTTCAGTGGTATATGTTTGTGATGATAAAAAAACAGATTTTTTTTGTTAAAATATTTTTTTGAAAAAAATATTTGGTGAAGAAGGGATCAAAATTTCTTAGTAGCATAGAGGATTTAATAATCATGAAAACACACAGTTTTTGCTCGACTTTCCTGACATCATCCAAAATGAAATGAAATTTTGGATATGGTACTATGGTGCATTCACTGATAAGACAGAATACAATTGTCACTTCCAAGATCCCCACAGGAACTGCATATATCACACCTCAAAAACAATAAAATAATTTTTTACCTATATTACAGCAGTTCCTTCTGGGATCCTGGAAGTGAAAACTGCATTCTAGTTTATCAATAATGTACTGTACAGAGCACAATTTGATGTAATACAAGAAAGGAGGAAATTATTGCTTGCACAATCCATGACAATGCAGCTAAAACATAATGGATCATAATGCCACATGAATTAAACAATAATATCCAGTCAACAGGAGAATAATTATGACACGTTACTAAAATTAAATTATCAGTGCAAGTCAATTACCTGTAACAGAGCCACATCTTCTGCCAGTCTCAGAAATACAAAGAGAACCAATTCTGTCTGACTACCGCCGCGTGTGCACGCAGCCTGAAGCTCAACTAGTAACGTTGGCCACTGCTGAGGCCATTCCCTCTTGACCATTTCCACAATAATTCTTGACAAAGCGTCCTTGATATGCGTATGTTCTTGGAACTGTGGTTCAATATCTCTCTCTAAAAGTTTCATTGCATTTTCCTATGAAAAATGTGAAAGTATGAAATTGAACTTAATGAAACCAGATGTCAAAATTTGCCTATGCTTTATACTGTATGTGCTTAATTTTTTGCAGAATAAGTACATGACAAAATATCCATCTAGTTACAGCAATGGTTTATAATGAATCTATTTGCCACAACACCTACAGATGGTAGTATAATGTTCTGTTTATGCACTTAAAAGCATAGCCACCTGCTTGACCATTAGTAAAACCATTTCATATAAATTCAATACATTCTAGGACTAATTATTTTGTCACAGTGCAACTGAACCAAAATGACATGCAAGATAACACCAAATTTTATAGCCGTGGTTAACACTCCTGCTTCATATTCAGAAAGTTCTGAGTTCAAATATCGACCCAGAGATTGGCTATCTTGATTGAAATATTTTATACTTTTCCTCTGTCCCTCCAGGCAAATGCAAGGATAGTACCTTAAATTAGGCCATGACTCCTTCCTTCCACAATCTTTACAGTTCATTATGCGCTAATCCCATCAATCCATCTACAACTGAACTTTGTCCTACTAACCCAACTCAAGGATTATCTACTACCCAGACACAAGACAGAGTTCATGGTAGATCTTTAATGAAATAGGGACATAATAGATAAGCCAATACAATAAATAAGAATGGTGGTGAAACAATCATTTAAAGTAGAATGAGAAAGCTACAACGGAGACTGTACACAGCTGCAACTATGAAATGGTTAATCCCTTGAATGTAAGTGATAACTTTAGAATTAAATTACCTTAATGAACAATTTCTCCTGTTGTGAAATCTGGTTCCATCGATATTTAACACAATGCTCCATCAACTGCAGACCAAAGTGGCGTACAAAATGTGATGCATTATTCTGTTGTGCCAGATACAGTCCACACTGAACACAAACTGGAGAGGTTTCTTTAAATCGCTCACATGCCACATACGCTTCCACTCTCTTTTGCTGTGGAACACATGGGTCCATTGTCAACTCAACAGCACGAGCCAGTTCTTCAGCAACTTGGGCAATATCAGCCATAGCTGTAAATGAAAGTAATCCCGACACCCTTCGTAAACAAGTAATAAAACCAAATTTTGACTGTGGACGTTCGTTTACGAAAACAACTTTTATAAAGCAAGTACAGGAAACGCCGGTAAAAAAAGAAATAATATGTAATCCTACAATTTATATCTACATCATTTCACATAAGAAACAAAATGCCTGCATTGAACAGTTTCCTTCATCAGAAATATAAGATGTATATCTGACAGCCAATTACAAATTTGTTACTACATTCATGCACATCAACACTTTTCATCAATACATAACAAATGCGCACATCCTTTCACTAATCAATCTTTTCCATAGAAAATCTGATCCATTCCAAAGGTAATAATGCTATTCCACGGATCTTAAAACTAAATTGGGGTTGCAATACAGTTTATCACAGCTAATAAGTTTGTGGTTAATGCAGACCACGGTTACCTAGGATGCTAATGTACTATTGGGACTAGCTACGGGCTGGGCGATCGTGGTTCGATCCCCGACGGGGACAGAGGATATTTTCCTCTAGTCTCTGCGTCCAGACCGGCTCTGGGGCCCACTCAGCCTCCAGTCCAATGGGTACCGGGATCTTTTCCCGGGGGTAAAGAACGGCAGGGCGTGATGCTGACCACTCACCCCCATCTGGTACCGAAGTCAAGAAGGAATATGAGCTATAACTCCGCCCCCCACCCCCCAAAGTGTACTTTCTGACAGACAGAACATTTGTTAGGAATAGGTTGAATTCCTTTTCGACCATCCTGTATTATACTCGCAGATAATGGTTTGAAACAGCATACATGTAAGCAATAGTTTTGATACTTTCTTGTGTAGTTACTTTTACTGTAGTTACATCCTTGGCTTTAGCCTAAGAAGGATCTATGGAATGTAAATAAATTCTATTATCTTCTGTATGTATTCATTTCTCGTGTTTGACGTTCCAGTGGTACTAACTATATGAAGCCAAATGCAAGTACAAATTCTTCCTATCTGATCCTGTTATAACTGGAAATATCAGCACGATAAATTAAACTAAATTTCTCAAATATATATATAAATGGTTATTTTATTAACGTGAATCATATACATCAATGTCAATCAGAAAATTAATTTATTTTCAGTGAGTGCAATATGCACATTAACTAAACATTTGCTCGGTGCTATTTTTGTTCATCATTGATGGCCCTTATCGGTGCAAGATAACAGCGATAACGCCGTATTTAGCGGCTGTTGTTACTGTAGGAATATTACATGTAAGTGATTGACGCATTGTTATTTACTTTCTTTGATGTTAAATTATTAGATATGATGGTTTATGTTAGGACATGTTACGGATGTGTTTATTTTAATGCTGGGTGGAGATATCGTCCTAATTCCTTTAGCCGAACAACCACTGAATCTTCCTTCCTGTCCATGTGACAGAAAAAAAGTCACCTCATCTCCTAACCATGTGGTTGACAAAGACTTTGCATCACCTCTCTTCTCATTTCACATGGTCACAAATACTTTCATCACCTATTCTTATAGTGTGGCCCACAGAATATTTTCTTTACCTCTTTTACTTAATCAGTGCTTGTTATCAATTGGGCAATAAATAGTCCACTCCTCTGTTCTGCCAATCATGTCCTTTCCATCTTAGTTTCTACCTACTGCCTTCTTCATACATAAGTCTTTATTAAAAACCAAACACACATTTACTCTGAAGATGACAACTGCAGTGTTTGCCAAAATGTTGGAAAGTATATATTTGACATGGATCATCCCAAGCCAAAGTTATACATTTAACTACAGCCATTTACCCTAAGGACATGATTTCTTTGTACCATCTGGTTGCACAATCCATGAAGTAAATTGTATATTCATTTTAACTGCAATTGACAGTTTTAAAAATATTAGTATCAGTGTTAGTAATATATAGGATTTTATCTCTGGAAATCATTTGACAGGATCACCAAATGTTTCTTGTTTAACTACATTTTGTCAGAAGAGCACACAGTCTCATTCTTTGCAAACATTTCATGATGGGTTTGAACCTGTAAACTCTTGTCAATGTTGTACTTATGTATTGCAATACCATCAATAGATATCACCATTTCATAGAAACATGCTGTCTCCATCTTCAGGGTTGATATCTCCCTTTAAATATGGTCCTGCACAGAACATATCTGTACAGCAAAATGCTGTTATCTTTCTTTTCCAGTGGTTTGCTTTGCTATGGCTGGCACAACAGATCGTCAAAAGTCCTGTGCAATAATAGAAATATTTAAAAGTATGGAATATGGCCCAGTATCTGATAGTTCGAGTATTGCCAAGGTTTGTACATCATATACTAAGTTGAAACTGAGTGACTGTTTCACATTTTGTTTGTTAACAGTATTTTTTATGCTGTTGAACTGTTAATTCATGAAGTACACATTTCAGAATTTATAATATAATGTTTATTTTGAAAAGTGTTTTGAAGTGGTTATGCTGAAGATGGCTGTCTTCAGACTTAAGGCTGTGAAAACCTCAAATCCTACTAAGTGGTTATGCTGAAGATGGCTGTCTTCAGACTTAAGGCTGTGAAAACCTCAAATCCTACTAAGTGGTTATGCTGAAGATGGCTGTCTTCAGACTTAAGGCTGTGAAAACCTCAAATCCTACTAAGTGGTTATGTTACCTCCCCCCCCCTTCCCTTATGCACTTCTTGCTCTTTCCTAGCATCACCTCTCTCACTATCTACACACCAACATGAAATGTTGCTGATATTTCTCATTTACAAAGTAACTCGATCAGGCTGCAGTGATGGGTGTGACAGCAACAAATTTGGTTTTGGGGTTCTGTATTGACTGAAAATTTTGTGCTTTATTAGTGTTTTCTCGTGATATACTACCATTTTATTTTGTGAAAAGATTATGTTTGTTAATTTATAGTATGTATTTTTTCTCCAATATTTATCATTCAAAATCATGGTACATAATATGGTCTACATAGTATGATAAACAAAAGATGAAAATGAAGTGATTGTTGCTCATCTTTTAACTAATTGTAGGCAGCAGTCACAGATTCAGAAATACCTGCTGCTACACAGACTGCTAGCGAGCTCTCTGAATAGTTGCACGTGTTTGACTCAGACTTAACTGATACAAAGTGTTCAGTATTCCAAACAGGAATATTTCGATTGTTCTTATTTTCAAATCATCTCTGGCTGTAAACTGTATTTACACTGCCTGTTAAATAAGACCAGATTTAATGCATCATGAACTGCTATTTTAATCTTAATACTAGGCATGGTTGAAGGACAGAAAGTTGGGTCCATTTATTGATGGAAACTTTAAAGAGACATCATCATCAGAATATGACGTGTTCAGGCCTTGCACAGAAGAAGTCCTGACTAAGGTAGGACTTACTTCAGAAGATGACATCAGTATGGCAGTTACCTCTTCTCTCAAAGCAGCTGACACATGGACCAATCTCAGTGGTCATGAGAGGGCCTGCCACATATACAGGTAAGTTGTATTTAGTAGCAAAGTATCGTTGTTGAAGTAATGAATCAGGGTGTAAAGTTTTACTCACAGGTACATGCATAAAATAAGCAAAGATTTTAATTACATCATCATCATTGGTGCAACAACACAATTCCAGCACAGCGTCTTCTTTTGTAGAGGTTTTCTAGATCCTGATTTCTTGGATGACAGATGAGGACTACACAAAACCACAGGACAGTTCATGTAAACATGACAGAAATCAGCCAGATTTCAGGTCCTGTCTCCTGGAATGTTGCACTGTGTAGTCTGATGATGCCCCTGATTATTAAGGCAGTGAGCTCCTCTGAAACGTTGGTCAGTATCTAGTAGACTACATGGTGCAACACCTCAGAAGACAGCCTTGTTCATGGCATATCCTTTTCCTAAGTGAAAGAAATACACCTTCATGAAACTTAATTTGCGTGTTCTTCAGAACCTTGTTTGCAGGCTGCATGTGTCTAGGCATCTGTCTGCCCCATTTCAATTGTAGACACACACACACACAGACAGTACTAGTACTAAGGGGAGTGTAGTAGTTAGTAAATATAGTCTTTTGCATATTTGTAATTACAAATATTTGTCTTCGCTAGGATGTGGTTATATGGCCATCTTGCATGAGTCTGTGTACTGTTAGCTTCCCAAGAAGTCTGTTCCATGGAGTTAGTTGCTTCGTTAACATCAGAAGATTTGTAGGACTGAAAGTCTACAACAGGAAAGTAGGCTTTATGAGTTCTGCTTGGAATGCATTGTAAAAGAAAATCTAATTAAATCACAAGACATAAATCATCATGATATTGCTGATTAAATGTTTATGTCAAATGTACTGTTAATAATGATTCCTTCACAGCCCAAATTTAATTGCTAAGTGAGCCCACGCTACAAACATGTTTGGGAGGAAAAAATATATATTGCCTTTGTTTTTGCATGTGAGATGATAAAAACAAAATTCACTCTCCTCTACACAATATCTAAGGCAGGATTTGTAAATTGCTGGATAGAGAACACTCTTCATATTGTTTAGCAGAACAAGACATTCCAATACACCAAGAAGAACAGAAACTTTTTTCATAGAAAGTAGACGTGACACTGTCTCTCATTATCCTTCACAGGTCAGTGTGTGGAAGTTTTGCATAAAAATAGGGCAGATAGGTTACCTCCTAAGTCTGCACAGCAATGGTGCTTAGTTAGGCACAAGTTTATCTAACTAAGCACCATTGGTGTGCAGACTTAGGAGGTAGTGTAGGTATAGCTCCACACATTCGTAACCTCAGCACTAGGAGGTGAGTGGTCAGCTTCACACCCTGGCTGCTGTACTCAAGGAAATAACCCAAGTACCTATTCCAAAGGAGGCTAGATGGGCCCCAGAGAATGTCTGGACAATATGGTGAAGACAAAAATGTTGACATACATGGAGTCAAACCCTGACAGTCCATCTTGTAGTCTACTTACAGTACTGACTGAGCTGAGCATTTGAAAGAGAATTAGAAAAATATCAAATGCAGTAGGATTTATAGTGTTTGTTAGGAACAGTCGCAGCAGAAGTAGGACCTCTGTGTCGCTAGAATTTCTGTTGTTCCCCTCCTGCCACATTTCAGGGTCAGGCTCTACCTTGTCACTGCCACTCTCCTCAGAGTGTGATCAAGGTATGGAACATTATTATAATTGGTTTCTTTTGCAGCAACTTTATATTTTAAATTATAATCTACTATCAATTCTTGCTCAGTTTGTATGCCAAATACAAGGGTTTAGCTGGGATTGAAATAATGCCTGTCATTCTTTTTGTACCACCAAGTTCATTGATGGTCAAAGCCCTAGCTCTTTCTCTCTACCTCCTGTACATAACTGCTGTTCTATTCAGATTTTCCATGTGTCTTTATGAAGTTAGATAAAAGGAAGGTACAAGCTTTGATTGATTGAAGTCATCAAAATATAATATTTTAAGGCTGTATGGTGTTTATGGTGACAGGAGAAACATACAGGTTGTCTACAAAGAAACTGATTTTGAGAGGTCAAACAGAGAGCAGTTCAAAGTATAGTGACATCATCCATTTGGGTTTGGACATGGTGGGAAGGTAGGAGGCTGTGTAACATCATTAAACGACTGTAGAAGATTAACTAGACATGTGAAATTTGTATGGTGGCCTATATTATTATGAATGATATTAAAATCTGCAGGTTTTGACCCTTCAAAATATGAAATATACCATACCCACCACTGGTGATTGCCTTAGATATTTATTAACTCATAGCATGAATTGTACTGTTAATATAATTTGACCTTGCAGTTTGGCTCGTCACATGCAGAAGCATGCCACACTTTTGGCACAGATGGAATCACTGAATCGTGGTGTGCAGAGTTGTGACCCAAGAGAGTTTGATGTGCCTGCAGTAGTGCGATACTTATATTACTATGCTGGTTGGGCACAGCTATCATCTTCCTCTGAATTAAGAGATTGGAAACCTGTGGGTGTTGTGGCTGGCATAATGTCTGCTGTATCGCCTCTCATTACGTTGGCCCAAATAGTAGCTCCAGCACTAGCTGCTGGGAACACTGTCTGTCTCAAGCCACCCAAGGGCTCACCACTGCCAGCATTGCTGTTTGCTAACATAGCTATGCAGGCAGGGTAAGTTTGCAAGGAATGTCCCTTTATAAATTCCATGTCTTTGTTCCTAACTCTTAATAATTATGGTTACTCCATTTAGCCTGCCAAGGAGATTGATTTAGCCAAACATTATTTAATATCTTGTTATTGTTTTATTGATGTGTGTTACATGCAGATGCTGAAATTGATTGTATCAGTGGTAAAGCAAACGTCATGAAGTGCCAGTGTTATTAACTTTATCCTTCATATTTGGTATGTCTGCTGTTTTTCTTGTAGTATAGACAACAGTTTATGTCAGCAGTAGGAGGAATACCGGCAAATGTTCGATACTTAAAGGTACTGTATCAGGAGTAATGATTTTTCATCTTAATACATACAGATTAAAAGAAACGTTGCTTGGCTCTTGGAAACATGAAATGTGAACTGACACAAAGGCATTCCAGCACATCTTGAGTTCTGGACATAGAAGCTTCCGCTTCTGTGTCGTTGAAATGTACTATGTACTAGTTTAAAGAGTTTCCAGATCCATTGTTTGCAATTTTGCATTCCATATTGATCTAAAGTTCATTTATGTAAATTAAAAATGTTGTGGAAAAAAGATAATAATTAGCTAGTCATCAATTATCTAAATAAGAAATTCCATCATACAAGCTTATCAACAGTTGAAGTACTACATCACAAAGAGTCATAAATTCTATTGCTGATATATTTAACAAGATTCTATTGTATAGACACCTATTATTCTACCTGTAAAGTTTTACATCTTATTGAAAACTTTTTAAGGTAAAAAGATAAACTTAGTGATATCAACATTTTGTTACATATCCATTTGTGTTAAGACAAAGTTCAAGAAATGTTATAGTTTAATCAGAGTTTCATGTAAAATTGGGGTATATCAGACTGGAGTAAACCAAAATGAAATTTGGTTAACATTTGGTAGACCTCCAATACCAAAATGTAATTTAAATCTGATAATTTGTTATGGACTTCAAATGTGCACAATGACTGACAAACTACCTACCCTTCCCACTATGTGATTCCTTTATCCACTTTGAGTACAGAAAGCAAAATATCTTTCACAGACAGTTGGTCATGAGTAAGTGTTTGATTCTATCTGAGATCCAGTTACATTGGCAACCAATGCATAACCAAAACTGTTGTTGAGAGTTTTAAGCAGTTTGTGATTTCAAGTCATCACCATCCACAATGGCAATGGACCAACTATAAAGCATGCCACTTGCAGTGTCCTCAATACATTGTCTCTTATGAGGTGATCTAGAATCCCTTACATGTCAAGGGTACAATTTCAATAGCTCTATCCCTGTTGCCAAACAAAAATACCAATCGAATACAACAAGATCAAAAGTAAAGGCACTGCCTGGTTTGCACAGGGGTCAGATAAATCTTACTAATGTTAAGGAGAGGAGTATTTCCGGATAGATTAAAATATGCATTAATAAAACCATTATATAAGAATGGTGATATATATGATGTGTCTAATTATAGACCTATATCACTTTTAACATCTTTTTCAAAAATATTTGAAACTATAATGTACTCAAGAATTTTGGATCATCTCAATAAATACAATATTTTAAGTACTGAACAATATGGATTTAGGAAAGGATTAAAAACAGATAATGCAATCTATAAATTGACTACAGAGATTTTAAATGCCATGAATAACAAACAAATAGTGGGAGGCATCTTCTGTGATTTGGAAAAAGCTTTTGATTGTGTTGATCATGAAATTTTGTTATTTAAGCTTAAATTTTATGGTATCAATGGGAAAGATCACGCACTTTATGAATCTTACTTAAATAACAGATACATTAGAACAGTATTACATACTAATGACAGTAACAATACAGCCTCGGATTGGCTTAAAGTTAGATATGGAGTTCCACAAGGGTCTATATTGGGACCTTTGTTGTTTCTTTTATACATAAATGATTTACCCAGTATAATAACTAAATTTGCTACACCTATAATTTTTGCTGATGATACTAGCATCTTATTTTCTCATTCTAATACAAACGACTTTAATAAACACATTCATGCAACATTTGAAAATATAAATAGATGGTTTAGAATGAACAGATTATCACTAAACTTTAATAAGACACATTATATTAATTTTAAAATTAAGAGAAAAATGTCAGATACTGTCACAATAAGTTATAATAATAAATTCATTAATAATATCTTCTGTACTAAATTCTTGGGAATTATGATTGATGGTGCATTAACTTGGAAGAATCATATTGATCTACTTATTAAAAAATTGAGCAAGGCTTGCTATGTAATTAGAAATATGAAACCATATATGTCTATTTCAGTACTAAAGACAATTTATTATGCTTTCTTTCATTCCTTAATGAGCTATGGCATCATTTTCTGGGGAAATTCATCTAGTAGTTACACTATTTTTCTCCTTCAGAAAAAGGCAATTAGAACAATGATGGGATGTGGCAATAGAGTATCGTGTAGAAATATATTCAAAGAATTAGATATCTTACCGTTGGCATCACAATATATATTTTCTTTATTATTGTTTGTATTACAAAACAAAACTCTTTTTCCATCAAACATTGACTCTCATACTATTGATACTAGACAGAGAGAAAATGTGTATCTACCTCAAGCCAATTTAACTATTTATCAGAAAGGAGTTCACTATGCGGGTATAAAGATATTTAATAAATTACCCACAGAGGTTAAGAATACCTCAAATAATTTTAAAAAGTTCAAGGTTGCATTAAGGCATTTCTTAATTACTCACTCGTTTTACACTGTGGATGAGTACTTAATTGGATAACTATTGTAATAAAAATACTAATTATATTGTCTTGAATTTAGTACGCTGCTTGTCTAGATGTAATTTTTTAATGTATGTATTTTATGTTTTTATACTTGAGTTTGTGACGTGTTCTATATCCACTATTGGATTCTTCGAACTTGTAAATAAATAAAAAAAAAATTAGTAAGACATTAATCATGTGTACTGCATAATGGCAATTTTGGGAAAGTTGAACAAGTTATTTTGTTTGGACTATTGAATTATCTGTTTAAGGCTATTTTATTATACTGTATTAACTGCCATTATGTAGTATTGAATGAAAGAAGTAGAATGGATGATGAGTCAGAGGGACAGGAAGAAATGTTAATGACCTGTTTCAAGCCACCTTCCCAACATTCACATCTAGGGACTGGGCAAAATTGTTGAAACTAGCATTATATATGAGACTAAATTATCTTATCTATTGTGGATTACTTTCACATGTACCAAGCACAGCATCTGAGTAGTTGGCATTCTTGCATTATGTTAGGAAGAACCAGGGTTCAGATCTAGGTCCAGAGACTGGCTGTCCTGACTGAGGTTTTCACGATTCTGCTCAGTCCTTCCAGGATAGTGTCTTAAATTAGACTTATATATCCTTTCCAGTTCATCTTTCCATTCAGTATTATATAGTATGTCTACTGACAGTATCATTAATTAATACAAGTTTTCATATTTCTAATTTGTATGCACTTTTTGTGCAAACATTTAAAATATTGCTGCAATATCCATGACATCATTTGAAGGGTACCCAGTTCAAACTCCAGGTAGGACCTTCTAGGTTAACTGAGTTCTTTTTCTTAGATGGCTGTCTTCTGGATTGTAGTGCTGTATAGTCTGGTAGAAGTTTACCAACGTTTCAGAGGTCCTTGCTCCCTCCATCATCAGTGGGATGAGTAAACCACGCGAACCAACCAATGAGAAAGCTAAGTAAGGGCAGAGTCCTATGCAAGCGCAAGACATTGATAGTAATCCTCCAAACCTAGAGCTATTGCTGCAGCCTGCTGAGACAGGCATCCAGATAACCAACAAGAAGCGATCGACCACGGGGCATGGCTATGACAGCCGTTTTATCTGCGAACTGCGCTGGCTTACTATGGTGGGAGGGCATAGGTATGTCGTTTTCATAAGGTAGGATGGCAAGTTCAGGATGGTTAGCTGGTAAAAGAGACCTTTGAACCACACTGTGTCAAAGGGTTTAGTCACATCAGGAAAACCGCTCTGGTTAGCCACTTTTCGCCATAGTTTCTGTTGACTCTTTCTACAAGGCGGGCCAGTTGCAGCTTCGTGCTGTGTCTGGGTTGAATCCCAAACTACTCATCATGCAGTGGCCTGCACTCGTATACCTACCGGAGGACTCTAGTGAATAGGAATGTTCTCAAAGGGCTTGCCAACAGTGTCAAGAAGACTGATGTTTGACATGTGGTGTCGATCAGGTTAGGAAGATCGTCTGAGTTGAGTGCAGAGCAAAGAGTCAGATGCACCGGTAGGTCAAAGTCCTTGACAACAACTGTGTCGAGAAAAACAATAATAAATTTAATCTCTGTGGTTGGCATGCACACTACTGCATTAGGCATGTTTCTTATATATGAATTATGTAGTTAATTATTTTTAATTGCAGGTTACCTCCTGGAGTGATCAATGTGTTACCTGGTGGTTCAGAGGTAGGGCGGCTGCTAGTCACACACATTGGAGTTTCAAAGTTGATGTTCTCTGGTTCAACAGGTTTGGGGCGACTCATCCGAAAACAGACTGCTGGTCTGGGCATACACCTCACCTTATGTAAGTAAAATAGATCAAAAGATGTAGGCTGATGGATATGTGTTTCTGAATGTCAGTGTCAGCTTCTGTTTCATTATGTGTTTCTCTTCTTTGATCTGTCTAATTTAGAAACTGAGTCCACTGTCTGGTGAATTTCAGTTCCATACTAAGAAGTGATTGATGGAATAATTTTGTAGGCATCCTACCGCTGAGCAAACTTACTCGGTCACAGTTGAAGAGACACGACCTTATCAGAATGGTATTTGGTCTTCTCAGATTCGCGGGATATTATAACATCGGCTAAGACATCTTGAAGAAAATTGGGGGGGGGGGGGGGGGGGGTTGTCTTTCAACTGCTGGAGGATGATCAATGTTAGGATTAAAGATATTCTGTGACTCCAAGCATTTTGGTGTCTGGTTGCAGTATTGAGTGGTGGAAAGTCCTCAATGATGGTGTTTGATTCAGCTGATCTGGATTCATCTGTGGATGGGGCAGTTCATGCAGCATGGTTCAACCAGGGGCAGGTAATATCCTGTATGGGGTCTAATTAAAAATTATCAAAACTAAATTTTGTATATCAAGTAAGTTCATTCCTCAAGGACATAGCTATGATGAACATGTCTTGATATTGCTATATGTTTGGACATGTTAACAGCTTATTCCAGTACATCATTTGTTTGTCTTTAGTGTTTGAAGTTAGATAGAGCTAAGTGATACATCAATAATAGTGATTTGATAACTGATACTTGAAATTCACATCACTTCCAGTTACTTGATATATGAAGCAGCATTCATTCCTAATTGTAGTCAATGGTTTACTTTCACATGGCTAGTGCCTGCAGTAGTTAGTCTTGTTGCCAGTTTGTCGTGCCGTGATATCAGTGGCATAATTACATATCATGCAAGAGACGCAATGTTGCTGTGGCTTCTGCTGCTGTCTGTATGGCAAACATGCGGCATTAAACTGTGGTTGGGCATAATTCCAAATTGTGGCATTTGCCCATCACACACAGCCTGCCTGTCCTCCTTATTATTGACATGCTGTGGCTTCTGATGCACTGTGTGGCAAAGACTTTAATGTGAGTTATTTGCTGACTTTATTTCAGTCACAGGAACTTTTAACTTAACTGCCATGCAGCCATTCATCATTTGAGTCACCTGTGGTTCCAGAAAAATTTACAGGCAGAGACAGTATCATGTGGTCCTTATTTCGTGGACTAGAGAGAAGGAAGCACAGATTATATAAGTTCATACAGTATTATGATAGTCTAAAATGTCATCATTCATCAACCACACTACACAAACCACATAAGTGTATATATGAGAATTTAATCAGTGATGACTTTATTCCAGATGGAATTAGTGTCAATAGCATAGTTATGAATAAATTTAAAAGCATTTTAAAAGAAATAAAGTAATTTTTATTTAAGAGCTGTATAGCTGAAGATTCATACATATGAATGCTGAAAACTTGTTTTTCCAACAGCTTTTGTTTCATAATTTTAATTGAATTTTAAAGAAGACAGGAAAGTTTCTGCATTGAAGTAACTGCTGTAATAAATTTAAATGCGAGTGTACTTTTAGTACCTCATCGTGGGAGAGATAAAAACCTAGGAATACCCAATATAAGTGGATAAAGGTGTAATCTCCAAACCTTGTTGTACCTCCAGATATGAAAGTGTGCAGTTTTTTTATCTTTGAAACTTGAGCCAGAAAGTTCTAGAAACAATCTACACACTTTGAAAATTATGGAAATAAGAAATTTTGGAATGAAATTCTGAAAATCAAGAAAGGTGATCTTCTGTAAGTGTTTCATATTTATAGCAGTGTTTCAAAATGTGTTGGGTTTTGAAAGGTGCCAACTTCATTGTCTTGTCTGATGTGGATTTTCACATCATTGCTGATGTATACTTTATAAAATATAATGAGGAGGTCTTCAGTATGAAAGAATTAAGAGTTACTCAGTATTTATCATTTACAGGTCCCATGGTCTGTGGGCCGATTGTTAGTCCAGGAGTCAATTTGGCATGATTTTGTTCCAAAATTACGTGCTTGTGTTGATCGCCTGCGTGTGGGTGAAGCATTTGACCATTTGGCAGATGTTGGATCACCAATAACCAAAGACATTATCACAAGCTTGGCAGTTGCAACCTCAGTAGCTCAGAAGAATGGCTTAGAGGTATGTAGTAAAAATATATAAATATATGATACTTATAATTGGAGATAAAATTTATGTCTCAAATAAGTTATTAAAAAAAATAAGATTTGTCTTCACTTTCTATGATAAAAATATGTTATCTTCTTATTACCACTTTTGTATTTTTAAGACGGTTCATTTTGTTCTCATAACAGTTCCTCCCTAGTTTATTTGTTGCATGTATTTACAATTTGACTTCTCTTGTAGGTGTATGAAGCACAAATACCACCAGGTCTTTCTTCTGAAACCTTTTTTCCACCAACTCTTGTAATTGGTGGTTTTGCAGATAGCAATCTCACCGTAGATGATGATATTTTATTACCTTTAGTAGAAGTTGTGCCATTCAGGACAGCAAAAGAAGCCATCGCACTTGCCAATAATTCACGCTATGGTATGGCTGCTTCTGTTTGGACAGAGAATACTTCTCTTGCTCTAGAAGTGGCTTACCACCTTCAGGTAATAGAAATGTAACATCTTTTTTTTAATGTATTACATAGACTGCACAGAGTAAACACATAATGGGAAGATCCTGCTCTCTCTTCAGCCATGTCTAATATTCCAAATCACTTCACTGTATAACAGTCGTGAAAGACAGGTATTTCAGATGCATTTAATTCAAAGTCCATAATTTGTAGTTGGTCTGCATTTTGAATTAATGAGGTGTTTTACTATTGATTTGTTGTTAATATCAGGGTGTGTGTGGTTGTGTAATTTAGATTTTCCTTAATTCTGTAGATTTTCTTAATTTGCAGGTCGGAACCGTGTGGATAAACAGCCATGGAACAGTAGATGCAGGGGTACCATTTGGTGGTTGGAAACAAAGTGGAATTGGAGTTGTTGGAGGCAAGGAAGGTATAACATACCCTGTTAATATTTATTTTTTTAATATGATTTGAATTTGTTGTGGGATGAGACCCTAGACTCTTACTGTATTTAGAAGATTTGCATCTGGATCCTGTTCAGATTTGGTGCAAATTTTTCTAGGATACCAGGCCTTCATTTTAAGCTGCAGGCCATCTGTCTTGTATCATCCTGTCATCAGGCTGTCAGGCTCTTCTTTATGGGGTGGATGAATTCCTTCATTTTGGCAAGTAGCATAGAAACTAGGCAGGCTAAGACCTAGAAGTATTTGCTACAAACAAATGCTTTCCGTGTATTCTGCGTTAATTATTGGCAATCACATAAAATGGGGAGAATGATATTGAATGATTAATTGGAAAGGAAATGATCATGATATGTTTTAAGGTATTAACCCATTATTGTACTAGAGGATCAGAGAAAAGACGGAAAACCTTGGTCAAGGCAGCCAGTCTTCAGGTTCAGACTGGAACATGAAATTGAATCGGGGAGTAACTGATGATGCTTCTGGTCTGTTGTCCATTGCTGGTACATGCAGTATATTAGCCATTGCAGAAAGGTGTCATTTGATATGTTTTTACTTCAGGTTTGTTAGAGTACATGCAGTATAAAGGTGTGAGGGTCAGCATGACAACAGATCCTGTTCAGTACAAGTATTTTGGAATGACTCCAGATGTATCAGTCTGTTGTCCGCCTTCATTGAATCAGCAGACAAACAAAGGTTCCGTGCCTGTAGTGGACCGCACTTACAAGCTGTACTATGGTGGGGCATATAAGCGTCCAGATGGAAATATGTCTCATGCAGTCCTGGATGGAACTGGAAAAATACATGCTATTGTTGCAGATGGAAGCAGGTAGTTAACTCAAAATCAAAATAAGACATATCATATAACCTGATAATTGCTGGATCTCCACAACTTTAGATCATCCCCTGAAATCAATGTTCATCAGTGCTGCTACTTGCATTTTAATGTGGGATGTGAAATTGATGGAAGCCTTGTATTCTCACCATACACACAAAAAATTTTGGCTTTGTTAAAGGTTAGGGATGGGATCTGGCTAGTCTTAAACCTGAGACAATTTACTGCTAGACCACAAGGTCACTCCTTAATTGATTGGAATATTAATATAAATTTTTCCATAGCTGATTTCCAATGCCGCTTTCCTTTCAGAAAGTAACAGTGTTATAAAATATTTGAAATTTTCAGCCATGTTTCAGGATCCTCTTCTCTCGTGTAATTATATTTATTAATAGACGTCTATTACAGGAAGGATGTGCGTAATGCTGTGGAAGCAGCTGCTAAAGCACAGCCTGCATGGCGGAAGATTGGGGCACATGTTCGTTCACAGATCATATATAATGCAGCGGAGAAACTACAATCCAGGCGAGAAGATTTCATCAGGTATGGAAATATGTTGTAACTTCAAAACCATTTTGGGACAGGAGCCATATTTTGAATCCAATGGCACTAAGCCCTTAGAACCATTTGCCTTCAAAACAATGTCCTTTGGCAGCTAAATGCTTCTGGGTGTTTTTGTGACACTTTGGGCAAACTGCTTCCTACAAATGGACAAGCACCGCCTTATACCTCTCCTTGCTGACCATAGCACTGTCAGGATTGTGCTTATGGTGTACAGTGTTTTGCCAGTTGAGCTATAAACCCACTGGCATATGAACACAGGAAGTATGCTGAAAACAGAATCTAGTAACTTTTTAATGATAACCTGAGGAGCTATGTCACATACCTTTATAGAATAGACAGTTCAGTCTTATGTTATCTGTAGAGTATTATCAGTTGCAGTAATTAAGTCATTTCTTTAATGCTTATTGTAAATTTTACAGTGTGTGACAAATTATAGGTCATTGGTAATTAGTTTAGTTGTTTTTCCTGGCCACTTCCAGTAAGATAGTCTGTATTTATGTCACCACAAATTAGAAACTCAGATTGGTGTTGTTCTTGTTACTATTCTTCTTCTTTCTCTGCAGGTTGTCCTGGCACCGTTCCTCTTGAACCACTGGTGAACCCCATCACTTTGGCTTCAAGTTTCTAATTCTGCCACTTTCCCTATGTAATGTTCCTAGTATGTTGTTGCTTTTTTTTACCTTGAATGCTTCCTAGTATTGTTTGTAGATATTGTTTAGTCCTTTAGTTACAGTTCCTGTGGCTCCAATAATTACCATATAACAAAACATTTCACATTCCATGCTTGCTGAATTTCTATACTTAATTATTTTTATTTTAATTTCTTTTCGGACTCTTTCTGTATTACATTCCTCTCCGATGGTATTGCTACGGCTATCAATAAGCAATTTTTTTTCTTATTTTTAATTGCTGTATCAGGCCTATTTGAGAGAACCTCTGTATCTGTTTGTATTCCTTGATTCTGCAGTACTGTTGTATCTTCTTGTACACACAATGGCTTAGGTGTGTGTGAGTACGTTTTCTGTTGTTTCAATGCTAATGTTTCAGGTATTGAGTAGTGTAGATTTGTACAGACTTCATCATGTTTTATTATGTATTCATTCTTTGCCAGAATGGGACATTCTGTTGTTAGGTTCATTTTAAAGCATATTGATGATGGTATATTGCAATAGTTTTGGTTACAATTTTGGACATTATTCATTGTCTCTTGTTTCTCATAACATGACATTTCATGGAATGGATCTGTCTGTCATCAGGTAAAAAATAAGAGAGACAAGGGGTTCCTAATCTGTGAGGTTCCTTAGAAAGAGCCAGTCTCTAGTACTGGGTCAAGAAACAGATCCAGTCCCTGAAATGTCATGTTATGAGAAACAACAGATGGTGGATAATGTCCAAAATTTTAACCAAAACTGATGTTACGTAGTCAACAGTTTCTTAATATTCTTTACATAGTCAACATCTACTTTCAATTTCTTATTTCAACATTTTTATCTTAAAGTAGTTGTGCTGATTGCCTGACCCTCGGCTGGCAGTATTGTGCTTTATATTTATCCTTAATGTCTGAACTTCAGCCATCGGCCTGACTGTACCAATTTATCATAATCATCATCATTATTGTTGTTTCAGCATTGAGATGCATAAGACTTCTCTTGCATCTTTATCACAGCTGTTTACGTAACTTTGTGTTTGTACTGTTTGTTATAGCCATTTGACAACTTTGTATGGCAAGTCTGACAAAGAAGATGCATCTAAGGAGCTGGATGCTTGTATGAGCTTACTGTTTCACTGGGCAGCAAGCTGTGACAAGAAACAGTTCGCAGCAGGTGATGTCAGCCCAAATAGCAGTGTCGTTGTGAATGTTTGTCGTGAACCATTGGGCATCATTGGAATAGTTCAGGCACCAGTACAGTCATCAACTGGGCCATGGGCACTGCTTGGCTTTATCTCACTGTTTGCACCTGCTGTGTGCTATGGAAACACAGTAGTTGTAATTGCTGATAGCATGCATCCTACACCTGCTCTGGAATTCTGTGAGGTGTGTTTGTATATTGGACACATACTAATATTAAAATAAAATACCTGGTATAGTAATTGTATGGGAGCTGTAATTGCTTAGTCATCAAAGTTGAAGTCTGTGGGCTAAACAGGCAGGGTTCAAGTTTTGACAGGGACATTTGGAATTTTCATCCTGAGTTCCCCAGGCCCACCCAGTATAATCTAGTCAAAATAATAATAAGAAGAACGGTATCATGCGTCATCCTACCTGACCTCAGTCCATTGTAATATCAGAAATGGTACATTATATGTAATAATGAATTTTTGATTTTATGGTTCAGGTGCTGCATTCATCGGACTTTCCAGCTGGAGTGGTCAATGTATTGACTGGGGACAGTGAAGCTTTGTTGTCTACATTAGCCAACCACCAAGAAGTAGCAGGCTTATGGGCGCCACAAACTACGGCAACTGAAGCGAAATATATTGAATGGGCTTCCAGTGTCAATCTGAAGCGTATCTGGGTTGACAAACTTCCATGTTTCACTAGTTTTGAACAAGTCACAGACTTCAGGGAATTGTTTGAATTGAATTCTACAAGGACTAAAGCAGTTTGGATGCCATGTGGGGAAATATTCGCTAACTGAAACAAAAAGAAAGATTAAATGACAAACAATGTTGGATTTGAGGTTCTTACAGCAGAGTATGAAAAAGAGTGTCTAATGGGTTGTAGTACCGTGTTGTCTGGTAAAAGGTTACCAACGTTTCTGGGGTCCTTGCTGCCTCCATCATCAGGTGATGGGTCCTGATGATTCATCACCATGATGATGGAGGCAGCAAGGACCTCTGAAATGCTGGCAAAGTTCTGCCAGACTACAAGGTGCTACAATCCAGAAGGTAGCCATCTGCATTCGGGTTTATTGAATGTGTACAACACTTCAAAAACTGCATCCATTTTCGTCTTCAGGTATATGGATCTGTTAAAAAGAGCTAGTCTCAATCACTGGTCCAGTGATATGTACATATATATAAATGGAGTAGGAGTGAAATTGGAGATACTCTTAGTACTGGCAAAAAATTCTCTGTATCATGATTCAGGCTTTTTATAGTGGGGGTAAGATTGTTGAATAGATTATTCCAGTATAATAAAATCCTTTTTGATATTTACTGAGTTCAGTGTTTGTCATATATCTGTTATCTTGTACTTATATTGTGGATTATATGTTGTCCACTACAAATAATGAGAGCAAGAATTCACTGGCTAGTGGAAGAATATTCAATTTCTTTAACTATTCCCTACATGCGGCAGTCCTTACAGTCCCTTCCATTATTCTAATGATTTTCTTTTGAATGTAAAGTACTCATTTGCTGTCTGTTGAGTTCCCCCGAAAATAATTCCAAATGATACTGTCAAATAGAAGTAAGCAAAGTAGTAGTAGTAGTAGTAAAGTTTCTGTTTTGATGAGTGATGTGACAGCCCTCATAGCAAAACACGCCGAATATAAAAGTAAGCTAACAAACAAACTGTTAACACTTATAAAAGATACTAGTGCCAAACGCGTTTTGACCTCAAGAGATTAACAGTTTGTTTGTTTGCTTATTTTTATATTCTAATACACTACGAGGTATGCAAAGTTTTAAAACATGCCGAGTTTAGTTTAGGCATAATATATTGAGTATGTTTTCCAATTTAAGTTACTGTCAATTTGAAGGCTAAGAAATGTAGGTATTTCTACTTCAGTCGTTTTATTTGTCATATTTTAATGTGAGTTTATTGGCTTTAATCCATTAAAGCTAGCAAGGATACTGTGCAGATTTCTAAACAGTTAATTTCTGAATGTGAAATAATATTAGTATCATCCACAAATCTATTAACCAAAAAATGCATGTTGGAGGAATTTTCTGTGATTTGGCAAAAGCTTTTGACTGTGTAAATAATGAAATTTTGTTGGATAAATAACATTTTTATGGCATTCAAGGAATAGCAGCGCAATGGTTCAGATCCTGTTTAACAGAGAAAACAAAAGGTCAAAGTAAAAGCTCCTAAAAACAAACAGGATTTTTTTCTCAAACTGGGGAACAATAAAACAAGGAGCTCCCCAAGCATCAATTTTAGGGCCCTTGCTTTTTATAATATACATAAATGACCTTCCTCCAACAATAAATACTTTAATAGAACTCATAATGTTTGCTCATGACACAAGTGTCATAATTTCAAATAAAAATTTTGATGATTTCTATTCAACATCAAACATAGTTCTGCCTCATATGAGTAAATGGTTTACTGTCAACAAGCTGGCCCTAAATCGAGATATAACAAATAACTCATCACAATATGCTTTAAGTATTGGTTATAATGGAAAGTATATACAAGAGTCTATAAATACAAATTCCTGGGTTTGCAAATTGATAATCACCTAAATTGGACAAATCATATTGATAAACTGATACCTAAGTTAAGTGAAGGATGTTATATACAGTTAGATCTCTGTTGCATGTCAAAAACACTGACACACTCAGATCAGTATATTTTGCCTATTTTCACTCCTTAATGAAGTATGGAATAATTTTGGGGGGTAATTCATCAAACAGCAAAAATATATTCACTTCACAAAAGAAAATTGTTGGATTAATGGCTGGTGTCAAACCCAGAAATTGATGATGAAATCTATTTAAGAGATTAGAGATCTTAGCTCTTCCTTGTGAATACATATTCTCATTAATGAACTTTATTGTAAATAACCAAGAACTTTTTCAAACTAATTCTGCTGTATACAGTGTCAACTCAAGGAATAAGAATCAGCTTCATAGATCAGTTGCCAACCTCTCATGTTTTCAGAAGAGTGCATATTATGCAGGGATCAAAATTTTCAACAGTCTACCATCAAGTCTAACTAACTAGATGGCTTACCGAACCCGAAGGTTCATCACCAAATTAACCAAAGCCCTCCACCGGACCCTGTTCTGGGCCAAGGAGCAATTTAATGAAGCATTAGAAAGATATTTAATTACACACTCCTTTTACTCTGTTGATGAATTTATATTGTTTACAAACAAGTGATAAATTATCTTCAGTATGTATGGGGTAATGGGTAATTTATTTGTAACTTATCATTACTTTAAGTGAACCCTTTGTTGTATTATGTGAAATTTATATAATAATATGAATTGTACTTTATAATATGTATTGTATTATTATTATTATTGACTTTTTTCACATCCTATTGTCATCTGGCTATCTTATGGATCCATGGAATGTAATAAATGTTTGTATGTATGGGTTTAGAATGAGATTCAATGGTTGGAGTAAATCATTAATATTATTGAGGAAACTCAGAAGTGTTGTGTACAGTATCATACAGTGCCAGTAAAGCATCCTATCACGACGAATTCTCTGATATTATGTATACGTATCTTCGAGGTGAGTAGCCGAACTTATGAAAGTGCTGAACAGCTAAACTGTTGCATTGAAACTCAGAAAGCACATTGACTGATTCGAGTAATTGAAAAATGCCCAAGAACGTGAATTCCAGTTTTGACAATTGACTAAGTCAGACGTACTTCGTAAAAGCACAATATCTGTCACTGTATGAACAACCGTTAGCCCCAACGTAAATAGGAAATCTATCGAAGCGGATAGTGCAAGGACCATAGACTATAACAATGTTGGTGCTATTGACCCATGATTTCTGTTATGGCCCACTATTCTGAAGTCAATCACATCTGTGGTGCATGTCATTTGTTTATCGTTTGTTGGCAAAGTTACCACTAGTTGCAGTAACATCGGAAGCCATATTGATTTTCATTTGAAATATGAAGAGAGAGGTGTGGTTATTTACTAAACTGAGATGATTTTGTGACCTTATTTGTTTAGAATTATAACATTTAGTTGATTAGAACATGAACATAATATGTATAATTGTTCTAAATCGAATTTAGAAATGAATATTGGAGGTATGTAACATGCTGTACTTCTACGTATGTTATTGTTCAGCTTTTTAATAATCAACGTTTGGGCCAATGTTGATGTTGTTCAGCTGGCAAAGTTTAAAAATATTTAAGGTTAGAACAGATTATGATAGGACCTGCCTGACTCTCACGTTAAGTGATTACATTGCGAGCTTGCAGTGTGTTGTTTTTGCAATTAAATGGCAATTCCTCAAACATTTGAGAGCTGTCATTAGCCAAGTACGTATATTTCAGGCGTATAGTTGTCATCGTGGTGGGGGGTCGGGTGGTTTGTTGCTGTTGCTGTAGGATGACCAGTTGGGCCGAGAGGATGCACCGTAGAGCTGCCACTTTCAGCAACGTGGTCACATCGTGCGGCCATCCCTCAGTTCCATATCCTCGGCGGTTGGAAAAGTAAGACGATGGTGTAACCATTTACACGCAGTTAGATTGTTTCATCTGTTCCATTTATACTTTTGCATTGGAGTTATTCCATATGAAATAACCAAGGTGATTTTCTGTTTTGATTACTTTTCTCCATGTTATAGTACAGTGTAACTGAACTCTTAATATTTGGAAATCAGAATGAGTAGGCTGTTTGCAATGTGCTTAAGTTCTTCAAAACTGTTTCTAAGTAATCCAGACATTTTGGTAACATAAATGTCCACAAAACACAATGAAGTAACAGTAATTTTTGCAATCAGAACCCGAGACATTTAGGCTACTGATAGTGAAGATACAAAAAACAGTTTTACACTCTAACTTGTGTTTGTACCTGCCAGATGTTTGTTTAATATTTGGGAATGTACTCACTTTCAGAGTGAAATTTGGTGTTCCCTTGGATGAGGTCTGCAAGAGTGACATTCCCGGTCCGCTGTTGGTAAGTGATTCAGTTTGTCTTGTAGAACAAGTAAATGATAATATATGGGCAACAGATTTATTCTGTTACAAACAACAAGCTTTCCATAGATATTTTATAGAAAATAATGATCTCATTACTCAATATGTAATTGTTTAGTCCATGAGGAGGAGCACTAAAAGACGAGTATAATTTGATTTCACCAATGTTGCTTTTGTATGTGTATAAACACACACACATACACAGAACTTTGTGTGCTTGACTGAACCATAGCATATTTAACAGAAAAGATATGATTTATTTTACCAATTCTTGTGGCGTTTGCAGATTGGTGTAGATTACACATGTGGCCTCTTTTTATTCTTATGAGACGACCACACTGCAGTACCGGTTCTGTAATTCTAATAGGATATTCTCAGAGCATGATGTAGTAAATGGGTGGGTGGAGAAGATGTGTAGACAGAATAGTTTATTTAGGGCAGTGATTCTTAACCTCACTTCTGATGTATGAATGTTCTTGTCCTCTTTTCACCCTCAGAAAATATTTGTATATGTTTTTACGGTTTTTATGAGAACCATAGTATAATTTTTTTAATTTACTTTCTTAATAAACTCAGTGGCTAATTTTAATCAGTACAAAAATTTTAGTTACAAAAAAAAGAAGATGAAACTGCACTAAAACATACAAATTCTGATCAGCCTGCTGCTGGATGTCCAAGCATATTTACAGGTCATTTCATATGTTGTAAGCATTTGAAGTTAAGGGTATTTTTGTCCATCTCTGTTTAAGTGTAAAAGAGTGCAGAACAATGTACACACATTAAATATGTCTACAAGACTGGAAAGATGGCACCTTCAACCACCAATTTATGGAACTAGCATTATGTGATTTAAAACTGAGTTGAGCATAGGTTTTTTTTTCCATGGTTCTGTTATTTGAAAGAGAGATGAATACCCAGTGAAAGTGACAAGCTTCCTGGACACTTTTGAGCCAATTGAAGCAATGATAACAAGGAGACTTGTTCATTTATTACCCTTTGAATTGGCTTTGGTTTTGCAGTATGGCAGTAGACCCTCCTCTGACTTCCTGACCAAAATATTAGACTTCTGTCTTTCTGGTCATGATTCACAATTTTGCTTCCCGATTACCGTAATTTGTAAGTCTAATAAAAGGAGGCATCTTTGAGTTCAACACTAGCTCAGTTGGTTGTGCGTGTGTCTATGATGTGGACAGCTCGAAGAATGAGGAAGTTAGTGGTCAGACTGACAGTGGGGCAACTTCAAAAAGTATTATGTAGTAATGACTTGATTTTCGTCATAACATGTTGAGAAATCAACTGCAGTTCTCTTGTTCTTGAATTTCAGTATAGGAAGAATGATAATAAAGAAATAAAAAACTTAAAAAAATATGACCTCCAAAGTCATCACAGACATGGTGATTGAAGAAGAAAAGAGAGCATACTCAGAAATCAAACTCAGATTGCCAGTACCTTGGCACACACACTTCCAACTGAGCTACTGCAGAGACATGAAGGTATGTTCCTTTTACGAGACTTTTGGAATAATAGCGACCAAAGTGGAAAATAAGTTGTGTATTGCAAAGAAACAGTGGTGTGTTGACACTTAATATTTTGGCCAGGAAGTCAGAGGAGGATCCACTGACCATATCTGGTATGCCTGCCTCTGGAAACAGTGAGTGTTGTTAACACTGTTCACTCTCAGAACAGAGTGCTATGTTACTTTATAGCTCGCTCTGCACAGGAGAACTTGATGTCCTTCAAATGCTTTTGTGCTAATGTTCAGCATGTTGTGTACAAAGATAAAAGTACATGTAATGGAAATCTTTTGTATCTATGATAAAATGTACACAAGGACAGTGCAGTCTGATCATAGGGACATTCAACTTGCTTGGTCTAAGAGTGAAGGTACAGAGACAGAGTGATGTTCATAACCACTGTGGACCAAAAATATTAAAAGATTGTGGTCTGATTAGGAAGGACATGTGATTCACGCAGCTTGTTCTCCTAGATGTGCTTGCATTTCACATACATTGTTTTAAATTGTGATTAGGTTTTGATTCTGAAGCTCAACAAAGAAGCACCATTCAAAAAGGATGTGTTCCGAGCACCTGGTCATCAGGGCAACATGAAGAAGCTAGTCCATTTCCTGCAGGCAGGCCGTCTTGTTAACATGGATAATTTCTCTGTCTACACTATCGCGTCTGTGCTCAAGAAATTCCTGCGTAAGCTTCCTGGTGGAATCTTTGGCCGAGACGGGGAACAGAGGTTATTTGCAGTTATTGACTTGCCGTGTACTGAGGAGCAGCGTGACCAGATACATAGGTTAGAATTTGCTTACCTTGACATAACATAATTGTTGTAACTGAGAAGTGCGAAGTTCAACGTTTTGTTCATCCACCAGAACCTTACATTAGAATCTTCTGCTGTGTCAGGAGTTAAATCCTGCAGGGACATTGTATCAGCCGGCTTGCAACATAAGGAATTTCCAGGTCAAGTGGACTCTGATGGTTCCAGAACAGTGAACCCATAAAAAGAAGTCCACACAAGTTACCCTAAGTAATTTCTTCAAAAGGTCCAAATCAGGATGGTTTTGCTAAGTCAGATTGTACAGTAACTAATTTAGTAACTTACCTTGATGATGTCTTACTGTCTGTTTGTTCACAGGGACAGTTTGACTGTTTATTTTGGCCTTGGGCAGGAATTTGGTAAAGTTCCTCAAACTCTTCTATTATGTAAGCTTAATAATTTTGGACAAACTTCATTTTACATCAGGTGGTTCTAGAGCTACTTATCAGATAGACCCTGATAATCAAAATATAAACTTACCTAACAAGGGGAAGTAAAAGTCCTCCTTTTAGTTTGCAGTCATAGCTCTTGCCGTCATAGTGTGTATGCCTACAGTGAAAGTGAACCAGGTTTGGTTCTCAAGTATGCTTTTATTATCACTAGTTATGTGAAGGCCATAAAATTTATTTTTCAAGTTTTTGTATTTATTTTTATTCTTTTTCCTTTATATTTGATAGTGAGAGGAGTGTGGTTGGTTACTCATCTTCTGCTTCCTCAGTTTTGTCTTTATGGAACAGATGATGTGTAGCATTTTGAAGCTCAAGGTTTGCCTTCCATTGCGTTTGAATGTGTGCTTTGATCTGCACTTTTTCAAGACTGATGGGCAACTAATTATGTCTTTATCATTTCCTATGCTTGGGGTTGCCCATAACAAAGTAGAATTTTCCAATTTTGCGCACACAGCTTTGTGGGGGACTCTGTCACCATAGAAGAATATAACAAACATACAACCATCTTTCTGTAAGAATGTGAAAGCTAGTGGTCAGAATGACAATGAAACATTCCGAAAAGGTGTTAACGGGATCGGTCGTAACATATTGAGAAATCAGTTGCATTCCTCTTCTTCTTTAATGTGAATAAAGAAATAAAATAAATGCAGACTTAAAATATGACATTTTATGGCCTCCAAATCCGTTACAGGTACAGTGGTTAAAGAAATAGCCTAAAGGAGTAATTTTGTAGCTATTGTCAGTTTGATTGCAAAATTCTACACCCGCCCCCACCTCCATCAGGACAATGTTAGGTTTGAAAGAGTGGTTGTACACCCACATAGATGCTTCTGTTCACTCACAATTTTTATAACCTTACAGAATTCTGTATATAGATTCTTATAAAACATAAACTCAAAAGAACTTTGATAAAAAGCCACAATGTAACAAACTGAGAACTGCCTTCTTTTCCCAGGTTAATTACATCATTACCGACTTACACTCAGCGATTGTTGGTGCTCCTTTTTGGGACATTCCGAGTGATTGCAATGAATGCTGAAAGGGGTCGAACAGGAATGACGTCAGAAGCGTTAGGTGTTTCAGTTGCACCAAGTTTCTTCCAGAGTTGTGTTAGTGATGGAAAAACTGCAAAAATGGAAGATGTAATGAGATTCAAGGTAAGCAGACATGGCCACAGCTGTGTGTCTGTCTTCTTTCATTCTAAATGTTTGTCTGACTCAGTGTGTGTGTTCAAGCCTGCAGACTGTTGGTATAATGTGTTGGCACACAAGACTGCTTAGCCTGGAGCAGGGGTCAGCAGCTTTTTCATGGTGAAGAACTGTCTTTTGTAACATTTTAGAGAGCTGCATTAACTCTCTCTCCCCCCCCCACAGTCTATGTCAGAGATGGAGTTTACATCATCATAGTCTGTACTGGTTTGCATACAGAAGTCCATTGTAACAAAAGCTTGCATTGTATGGAAAAATGTCATACAACAAAGTCATTATTGGCAATTAAGCATCCGGAAAAGAAAAGAAAATCTCCCCAGCATCAAAGGGCAAGTAATTATGGTTATTTCATACCACCATTGAAACATCTGTAATTTTAATTACGTTTGTATGTACCCTATAGTGCGGAAACAACATATTTATCTTACTGACAATTCACTGTATTGACAAGTGAAATATTTTTATGTTAGATTAATAATTGTGGAAATTCATACTTAAAACATGTTAGTGTGAACTTTGTAACAAACATGGCCTCTGCATACTGTAGTGTGGCGGTAATATAGTCCATAATCTCCTTCGTCAAGGTGGCGACAACTTATCGAGATATACTGATTGCAATTATAACTGATGACTTGGCTATTACATTGGTGGATAGAATTGTTATAACATGTGATGTTTGTGTAGGACCTCGATTTTTTTTCTCCATGGGTGCAAGGCTTGTATTGTTTTTCGTAACAACAAATCTAAGTCTAATATTAACTGGTAAACCACAACTTCTTATGTAATTGACAGTGCCTGTCTTCATTGCATGCGCCATATGAGGGAAAGAATGCTAGGTACTTCCAGCCTTCCTTTTCCAGCAAGTGGTTGGTAGCAGGGAAATGAAAAATAAGTCTGTTGTTTAATATAAATTGGTTGTGGAAGATTGACTCTCAAACGTGAATTCTGTACCACAGGGTGCATATAAGCAAAGAATAAAAGTTCTTCAGCAAAAAAATAAACATAATTTATTGAGTGTGATTGGTTGTGGGTGCAGTTAAGGTGCAGTTCCAAATGAAAAAAAATTATTTTAACTTTAATTTTGAGTCAGCAATCTGCTACATTACTGCCTCCACTTTTGTGTGTCTGGTCACTGCAGAAGTGTATGAACCTTTTGAATCTCTGTTAACAAATAGCCACTTTACCCCCACCTTGCCTATGTTGCTGGTTACCCACACAAATGTGAAAATTTTTGGGTTCCATTCATTTGCATCATTTAGTCATGAGAAACCAAATAAAACAATTGGACAACAGTATGAAATAATCAGACAGTGAAATGAGATGATACAAACTATTGAATAACTGGATTTGTCCATTCATTAATAACCACTGGCAGTAGTACCGTCTCGCCATTGGTACATAGTTGACTCAAAACACTAGTATGAATTAAGCTAGATGTACTTGTAATTTTGTGGTAAAATAATGAAATGTGACATTGCCACCTTAACTTATGTATATTTATATAATTTCAGAAAGCAGTTAAAACTGCTAATTTTCTCGGTGTTGACTGTCAACTACCTGAAGAAACCAGCAAAATTACTAATGCACTGCATGACTAAATCTATTACTTTCACCATCATATGTCATATGACACATTGTGTGCATAGAATATACTGTTCTGCTTTAATGTCACTAATATGTGTGGCCATCCTAGTGGTTCTGTCAGTAGCAGTTTCAACAGATAGTGACATGTCATTTACTTTTTAAACTGTTTTGTTTATCTTTCTTTTTTATTCACATTTTTTAAATCATTCATAAATATCTTGCGCAAGCATCAGTACAGTTAACATGTTCCACACATGAAAAGTTGTAAGGTGTACCACTAACAACAGTTTGTAATCACTGAATGTGTCATTTCAAGACTATTGATCGTAATCTAATGGCATTAACACCATCTGAAGCAACCACGAACACCCACCTCTGACTGACTGCCTTGTTTCTGGCCACAGCCTGCTTTTTTTGAACAATCTGAAATACTTCCCTGTATTGTTCATAGTGCATCACACACTTGTTTGTTAGTGGGATGAATCAGCACATAAATACAGGCTGGTTTGTTTGTTTTGGCTATTAACGAGTCACACCGTGTACTTACTGATCTACCATTTGCTGACCCCTGACCTAGAAGCTCTGCAGCACAAAAGGGGGGCCATATTCTTTGTTATAAAGATGGTACTTGGAATAATAATAATAAGGATGTATAAGGTTTTATTATTCATTCTTAGTCTTTTTTTAAACTAATCAGTTTTTCTTTCTTTCTAATTTCTTAGTTTTGTTTCTTTGCACGTTCTTTGTACATAACACTGAAAATAAGCTGCATGTATCTGCTTGTTCCGTGATTCAGATACAGATGTCACACACCGATTGATTAATGTGTAAAACTTTGTATGAATAGCATATTACTGCAGGCCACCCATCTTAATATGTTTTAACTGGACTACCCTACTTCATCTAGTGAGATAGAAACAACATTCTTGCCATTCAGTATAGGATTTTGTAGACAAGTGCTTTTAACAATTTCAGATGCAAAAAAGTCATTTTGAATAGTGTGTTGAATAAAAATTATAAAAGTTTAAAAACCTTCAAGATCTAATTCTTTGCAACCCTAAAGTGCATTGAAAACATTTTGATTTATTTTCAGTTAACTTCTCTGAGAGTGTGAGAAATGCTACTTCTATTTTGTCATGTGTAAACCTACGTTCATTTTTGTGTTTTACGTCTTCTGTCATCAGTCTTGTCTTCTTCCAAAAGGGATGCTATTACAAACGTAATTTTTTGTGTAATTCTTTGAACATTTTAAAAGTAAGATAAACTGGACTAATGTATGCTGTAGAGCGTTCAGTGTGAATGGTGCACCTAAAATATTGACCATTAGTTTACCTTGAGCTGAGCATGAGTATACTGATAGTGTAAATCAGTCTAAACTATTTTAATAATGCACGTGTTCAGATTATCTGCTCAGGCTGGTGGCTGAATCTGAAATGACTAATATCACAACCAAACAGGTACTGGCAACACTTCTGTCTGATATCCGCCTTTTAATATACACTGTGGCAAAGATGTCTGTTAACATTTGCTTCTTTTATTGTGTAATTTTGGAAACAAAACAAGTGCTTAGGTTTGCATACAGAGCTTGAAGTCTCTATAAAGTTAGTGGCTTATCAGGGAGCAAAACTGAAAAATGGTGTGGATTATTGTTTGTTATTTTGAATAACAAAGACAATAAACAATCAATTCTATGTGACGATATTTGAAGCGTCCATGGTAACTGAATGCAGTGAAGTCATCTTCGTCTATAAGCTGTGTAAGTGTGGAGTCCACCATTTTGGATTGTCTCTATCATCTGGTTTGATATGTTGAGTGGCATAATTACCCTTTATATTCTTGTAACTCCGTACTTACATAGTTGATCACTGAAGAAGACCTTATTGAACACTGCTGTATTTGATTTGTGGCATTTAGAACAAGCCAATAATATGGATGGTATATGTTTGTTGGTGTAACTTTTTTGTGCATTGTATCTATCAGCGCATTTATTCTCACACATGCAGCAAATTATGGACTGAATGTGGGTGGGACATTTGCTTGTAAAGGACAGCTGATGTCCACTTCAAAAGAATAATAAATATTTCCCTGCCCCATTATGTTTTTAAACTTAGGGTTGTGCCACAATTTGGTGATCCTTCAAATTAGCAGTCACTGCTGGCAGCATTGACTCGAAGTCCCATGTTTATGAGGTGTGTTGCCAGTTGCTCTTTTTGTGAGCCACTAGACACCACGTCTGTACATACTCGTTTGCACTTTGGCTGTTACGAGTTTTCAGCTACTTGCTTTGACATCGGAGTTGAAGTGAAGATCTGACAGCAGCACAAGCTGGGGCTTGATGCATCAGACGTTGGTGTTGCCAGGGATCATTAAATTGCAGCATTAGTTCAGTCCCATATTGTGATATACTTAATTAGTACTTAGGAGATGTACTTGAATATTATGTATTTCAGTTGCTTTTGGACTGTTCTTGACTAGCTGAGTGTTGATTAGCTTTCAAGAAGAACTCTTCTCCTTGGAATTAGTTATGTCATTTATTTGTCTTTAGTGGCTGCTAAAATATTGGGAAGTAAGTTACATAAATACTCACTGTATTGAAACACAGTGATGCTACTGCGGTAAGACACGACATGTTGTCACGGGAAGTAACTACTCCTGTATTTATTTTGTTCCAATAATAGGAAATATTAGAACCTGCAGTAACCGAACAGCACAGTTTTGTTAGTTGAGTTGTGGTCACTGTTTTTCTTTTTCCTCCATCATGACACTGAATCCCATGGCAGGCTGAAGTCAGTGTAAGTACAAATTTTAAATTGATTGCAGTTTTTGGTGTCAGCATTTCCCTCTCCTTTTGGTTGTTATTGTGAATATCAGTATTTTTTAAGGCGTTTATTTTATGAATTTAGGGGATGGTTGGTCATCTGTTGTAATGTAGGTTGTATATCCTGCATGATAGTTATGTTCCATTCTTTGCAACGTCTGTATGTTGAGTGCTTTTGTTGTGTGTGAGAAGTTTTTTTAAGTACAAGATGTGACAAGTTTGGTCTGGAGCTAAATAAGTAAGATAATGCAATGCAGTATGACCTGCATGTCGATATTGTAAGGTTTTGTAGAGAAGTGGACTTAACTGACAGAATTAGCTTTTCATCCTTGTGGAACTTACATAATAGAGTGCAGTGTGGCTTTACAACTACAGAATGAATGGAAATTGGCTCTTTGGACTCAAAGTAGTGTTAAACCGCATTACACTGAAACAAATTACTCCTTGGTGGAAGGACCTCTGAAACATTGGTAAACTTATGCCTTGTAGTAACAATATCCTGAATATATCTGAGAGAATTTTTCCTAAATATTTTACAAGTAATTGT